AGACAGCCCTTTATGGAGACAGGAAAATCATTACAAATGTATTTATAAGGTAGTCAGTGTTCCACAAGGTCATGGCAGAATGTCCGTGAGGGGGCGAGAAGCGTCGGGTCAAAGGTGCCTGCCTCGGATTGGCTGGCATTCTGAACAATCAGGGCGTGCCTTCGTCTGGCCCGTGTCCTGCATGTGACACAGCCATCCAAATGATGTGATGTTAGGTTATCAAGGACGGCTGCCCCCCGAACACCTCCCCATTGAGAGGGCTGTTCAACCGACTGCTGCTTTGGACTCCACTGTGACGCCTCATGAAGTTGCCGTCGCACTTCTGTTCGTCCCTGGGGCTGCGAGCATGCTGATCTGGAATCTAGCATCTTCCACTGCGTAGGTATGTCAAGTCTATCCGGGGTCCAGTGCGACGTGGTCCCCTTACGGAGATGTAGAATGTTGTCTGAAGTTGTTTTCCTTGACGTGGAAGCCCCCCGTGTTTGCCATATTCGACCCGATATTGATTAACTCTGCGACTGTTGATTAACTGCGATAATGTTGATTAACTGCGGTAATTGTTGATTAACTGCGATATTGTTGATTAACCTCGTAAGATCCGGACGGTTATGGATCTCACAGGGCGATTGCGACTATTGGATTATACGCAGTTCGCAGCCAGTAGTCGATAGGAGCAGACGGACGTGGGGCAGCAGATGATATATTGAGGACTGACAGAAACTGGTTCTACAGACAAACGGATTAGTATGCATCATGAATTAGGAAAACGTACAATCAACGATGACGCAATCAGCAGGAGCGGGAAGTAGTCACTGACGCAGCACCGATTTTTATAGGTGCAACAGCAAGTAGTACCGAACGATGTAGGGCAGTCTGACAGTGTGAATTGGCCGTAACGGCGCAGGAGTCTACGTTCGGGATAAGAGGGACTGTCCTTCGGTCGGCGTCGACGCAGCCGTTCGTGTCGCGTGACAGGTCAGATTGCACGGTTTCGTCCGTTTAGAACAAAGCTCAGCAAGGGTTATCTGACAGGCACGACACATGGGTAATACAAGATAATCAGCGCCATAGGCGTCAGGCTGGTGTGGTCGGTAGCGCGTTCGCCTGCCGTCCGGAGGATCCGGGTTTGATGCCCGGTCAGCTCGCTTTTCCGTCGGAGTGGGCGCTCAAAAAATAGGTGCAATCGAGGCGAACTTGCAGGTAATGACAGACGGGCAACAAACATTGACATCACTTACCGAGGGATAAGCAGACCTTGAGTGGGAACAAAGCGGGGGAAAACGAGCAGCAAGAAAACGAAACGGTGTCATAATGGACAGGTGTAAGTCATGTTGCTCATGAGTAGTCAGGAATCAAGGAAAGTTACCCTTGTTCACCGTTGATTCATAGGGGGGATCAACACCCCCTTCCCTGACTTTCAGTATAGCAGTAGAACGATCCGCCTCAACCTGCTACTGTGACCTGAACGGTTCAAACCACGGGCGAATCATTGCGGACTGCTGGCAGGGTTCACCAAATTGCACTGATGTGAGAGAGCTACCGCTGCCGGGCGCCAGAAGCTAAATATTCGCTGTGTCGCGTATGCTCCATCTGGTCTCCGGTTTGGCTGTAACTGTGGCAATCACAAAATCGTCGGGAGGTGATGTTCTCGTGGGCGTATCGGGGCCATTTGCAGTTGTTTTGTCACAAACGGCACTGAGGGGTTCATCCAACAGTCGAAGCTCATTAATCCAATCCAAGCCCAAGAGATCAAGGCCTGTGTAGTTCGTGAGGTAGCAAGTGCCATTGAGATGAAT